AATTCAGCCCATCTAAACGGAGGGGAGGATGACAGGTAAACTTTCCCAGCTTGTAATAGCAGCAGTTTTGTGTAGAGCTTAAAAGAATCATTGAATCTATTCTTTCCATGTAGTAATGAAACGATCCTTTAGTGTATACTTGTGAAAAGAAAAAATTTTCACACCCTTAAATTCTTTCTACACGGCTTCATAGTATGTGGGTAAAGTTTCATGAGCACCCTAAACCTCTTTAAAGTTACAGGATTGCTAGGCAGAGCAGTTTCCCTGTTTGGATGGCATATTGGTACTGGCTGTCTTGTGAGGCAGTGCCAGTGTGCGAGCAGGCAGTGGGAATGCCTGATGGAAAGCACGGGAGTGGTCCTGTCGGGAGCAGAGCCACTTGAGATACCAGCCTTCACGCGTTATTTTTAGAGTGCCTTTTTTTTTTCCCCTACACTGTACTTCCCTGTTGGCTGAAATTCATCATGAGGTTTGGATAGCGGGCGTGCTTCAGACTTAACGCCTTGACATATTAAGCAATACTGTATTTCTAGAAACCTCTCCTTTTGGCCGATGGATGCACCAAGCTGATGAAGTTCCTTACTTGGGCTTACTTTTTTTTTTTCTGTCTAGCAATACAGAATCATGGCTCATTAATCTTCAGAAGCTCTTTAGCTTTTTCCTTTGAAACTCAGCTGCCAGTTTATTGCCCTCTAGGTCATAGATTTCCAAAACTTTCAACAGGTGTCAGCAGAGGCGTCCAGTTCTTGTGTTCAGAGTGCCCAGGGTGGAAGGGGATTAAGCAGAAGTCCTTAGGTGACTTTAGAAAGACATTGCTGACAGTACATGAATAGTATTTATTTCTCTGCTCCAACTTCATTTGAGTGCTGATATGTTTTAATATCAAGTTCCTTCTGTTTTAGTAGCTTCTGAATAATGCAAGTGAACAGGACAGATGTGTGGGCACATCAACACTCATGTGTAAGGCCTTTATCCATGAAAACCCTGAATTATTTCTTCTATCTTTAAGCATGTGTTTTTTAGTGAAAATAGAAGGAATTTTGGTATACTTTGGTTGATGGAAGGCCTGCTGAGAAGGTGACAAAAGTGATGGCAGTCCTGGCAGGCCTTTGTATACACCTTGTAATAGGGTCTGTGGCCCTGCTTGTGTCCTAGAGAAAACAACAAGCATTTGAGTTGCTGGATTCTGTAAGAAGGCGCAAAAATAGAACTGAACTTCTGCCTAGCCCATTGGCAAGTGTGGAAAGGACCAAATTGTCACATCTCTTTTAAATTATTTTCATTTTTTTTTGAAGTCTGACTGTAATGCTCACAGTTGCAGTTTGTTGCAATAAATACTGTGAATTGAGGTGTCCTAAATATACAATTCCATCTCCCTTGGAAGCATGAACACTTAGAAGCTGGAAACTGAAGGTGCTGCTCCCAGCTCCACTAGATGTCAGCCAAGACCAAGTGACGGAGCAGTGTACATCTGCAAATTGTTGTTTTCTAAGCTAGAGAAGCCCTTGGCTGTTGCAAAATACACTGGACAATAATTTTCCGTGGTTGGCTGCTATGTGTAATGATACTATCTTGGATGTAGGTGGAGGAGACCATCTTACGGCACTGTAGGTTAACCCAATTTGAGTTAAGTTACTAGGCAATCTTGGGTTGGGTAGTTGAAGCTCTCTTAACCAGGTCAAAGTAATGTTAGATTGTTTCCAAATACGTTCCTCTGTGTTATTGTGATCATCTGTAGCTTCCTGGGTATTAGGTATTTAAATATTTAAATAAAAGGTAATAAAAGGTATTTAAATATTTCCTTGCTTTTTTCTGTCTGTCTTAACATCATAGCTGTGTTATCTAATATATTGCTCTGCCAGTGCAAAGCTTTCCTTTGTGCACTGTTTTTGAGTGTGTGGATGTCTTGAGCTTAGGTAACACAAACCATGGAGGTTCCTTCAGTTGCCCTCAAAGTGTTGTTAGAACACTTCTCATTGTCTGTGTATTTGCTAGTTTGAAAAGCAAGAAAATAAAACAGCTTTAGAATGTGTAGATGTATGCTTATGTTAGTGGCACGGGACCACTGTAAGCAAGGTATAGAAACAGTGTGTCAATAACATTTTGGGGTTTTTAACAATATTTTGTTTTTTAAGCAACAGTATTTAGGAGTTTTTCAAGTTGATAGTGTCTGTTTGTAACACATACTAAGATGCTCAAATGCTACAGATGAATTGCCTGTATATCTTTAATCTGTACTCTTTGAGGTTTTTTTTTCCTCAAGGTGCTTGTAGCTGTTCTTTGTTAGAATTCCTGTGCTAAATGCCTGACTTTTTCTTGTTTTTTTAATGGGCCGTTGCAAAGGAAGATGTAGGACTGTGTAGCTGGAAAGCCCCACAGGTCATGGTAAGCCACTAAATTAGCTTAGCCATGTTTTGTAACTCTTCCCTGTGCTTCTGGAAAAAAAATCCTAAGGCAGAAAGTCCTTACTGAACTTTTATTAGGCAGGAGGCGCTTGCTGTCTTCATAATTTCCATTTTTGTGTCCTGTAATAGTATTCTGTATTTGGGGATCCTTTTTTTTTTTAGCATACTAACAATGTTGTAAAACTTTGTTAAATAAAAAGCATATTGTTGATCCCGAAAGCATAATTGTAAGTTTGTGTAGGTTCGACACATCGAAATACATTCATTAATTCGGACTGGCACATGGCATCTTCAGGATAGCAGCGTCCAACACAGAAAGCGCAGTGGATCCTGTGTTGTTCAACATGAGTCTTGCTGCAGTATTTTGTCACCGCTGATATACCAGCGTTGGCTGTATCGGTGGCCTCGTATTAACAATATTTTGCTGAAGTAGTGCTGCACTGTATTTTTCATGTAGCCGTGTGTGGCTGGTGTGATCTCTGTGTATGGTTAGAAAGGTCCTGTTGGTGGGCTTGTGACATACAGTGAAGTGTAGTGGGTTTGGAGGGGGCAGGTTATGTTGCTTCTTGAAAACAAACATGAATTGTTTAGCTTGTTAAAATGCTGTTTCCATTAGAAAACTTCTAGATACCTGATGTTTGACTGCAAATGCAAGGCAGCTGTTCCAAGGCTGCCTACTTTGAGCAGAAATGATCTTAGCACTTTCTAGATGCCAAGAAAATGCTGGGTTTCATAAAGCAAACTACTAATTCCTTTTCCCACTGTCCTGGGTACAGCAAGGTAATATTGCGAAGTTTTGAGTCAAGTCCTTGAGATAAAGTTCTGGAAGAAGCCAGCTTCCTCACTGAGAGTAATGGGGAGAGAGATAAATACACATGTGAAAGCTTTTCAAGCTCAGCTGGATAAATTGCGTGGGGATGACGATTTTGTTCCCTTTAATCTTGCTTGTGTGGGTGGGAGACAGTGGGGTTTTGCTTACCCTAGGGTGTGTTTCTCCCCTGTATTGAGACTAGGCTATAAAATAAAAGAGCACCTGTAGTAGTAAAGCTGTGATAGAGAATTACTTACAGTAACAAACGCCGTTCCTGTATACTGGCCTTTGTTTTCTGTGAAGGAATTGGGTGCAGGGTTGGGGGGGTGGTAGTGAATGAAAGCTGCTATTAACAGATGGCTAGCTCTTGTTGCTGCAGCTTAAACTGCGACTGATTTAGTGTTCTCATCCAAATGTAGTAAACCTAAAGACGCACTTGGGTCACAACAACAACAGCAAAGGATACTGTGCGGAGACCACATTCACCAGTAGCAGTGTGCTTGTCCAGCAGAACTGAGCAGAGTGTAGCTTCTGTGTGCTTCAAGGCCATTGATGAAGCATGTAGAGGAGTGTTGGGTTTGCCTTGGAGCTGTAGTAAATTCAACTGAAGGGTTTGTAATACTTCAGGCATATCCTGGAATTTTAGCACAGTTTAGCGCAGGCAGTTCTTCTGAGTTGTCACTCTCGCACTTGCTGCTCCACAGAAAAAGGAGAAATAATTGAAATGTGATTAGTTATTGATAGTGATGTGACAGTCCTCTGATCAGAAGGTAAAAAATGGGGAAAAAAAAATCAGGAAGTAAACCAAAATGAGTATCAAACTACTGCATGATGCTTCCAGCTGTTTTCTGGGAGCTGAAGGAACACGCTTTTTGCTTTAGTTAACATTACGGATTAACACATCATAGCAATGCACTAATTACTGAGGGCTTCTGAGTGTATGTTTTCATCATACTGTAGTGCACACTGCTTGATGACTTCAGTTTGATAGTTTGTGAAGTTTCCCTTTGTTAATTTTAGGTAGTACAAACTGTCTGGTTATCTAGGATGTTTCACTCAAATGATCTTTATTACTATGAGACTTGTTTGTATAATTGTAACATTGCTTTTCATATTCCACTGATGCTCCAAATAAATTACAAGAAACATAGTGTGTGATTAAGGAGTGCAGTGTTACCATGAGAGAGGTTTAAATGGAAGCATAAAGCTTGTCCATAGCAAAAGCTCTTAATTTTTGAGAGGACAATCCTGAGAAATTAAGGGAGAAGTTAAGCAGGTCAGCTGGAACTGAAGAGTTTAGAACTTCAGAGGGTTTTGTAGTCTTGGAACTTTTAAAATTACAAGTGCAGAAATTTGCCTCTACTGCAAGCTCCAGATTTGGGGGAGAAAGAGGATGCACAAGCATCAGGGGTTTATAGGCAGAGTTTCTGTTCTAATCGGAAGAAAAGCTTTTTGAGACTTACTGGGAATCAGCCTACAAAGAAGAAAACTCTGTGATCACATTCCTTTCCTCTTGCTGAAAGGTAGTGTAGGGGATAAAGGAGAACTTTTAGGACTAAGTAAAACTTGATTTTTGCCAGACTAAAATGAAACAACTGCACAAGGTTCAAAAAAGACTTAAAATGAAGAGTATAAGACTGAGGTAGGACCTGTGTATGCTTTTGATGTTGCATTTAGGCTTTTTCCTTTCATATACTTAAGCGTTAGAACCAGGGGAAATTTTGTTAAAGGAGTTCTGAGGGCTGATGTTGAATGACGTTAGGGACTTAAGCACAAAATAGAAGTGTTTGAAGAATTTACCAAGGAGAGAAAGGGAAGAGGACACTTTGAGGTAAAGGAGGAAAGAAGCAGTACTGGATGCCTTTGAGGACTCAGTAACTTCAGCCAACATTCTGTGTATAAAATGCAAGGTAGTGCAAGTTTTGATTTTAAAATAAACAATTAAAAATAAGGCAAGTCCTGCTGATCTGTCCCTTTTAAAACTTTGGAAGTCATTCTGATCAGCAACAAGATTGAAGCCAGTGCCTTGTTCAAACTGCCTAAACAGATGAAGGCAAGTACAATGTAACCCCTTCTATTTGCTCAGAGAGGGGTTTGAAAAACGAGAATCTTTGTCGACAAAACTTTAGACTTGTTTAAAACTACATATGAAGCAAAGTGCATAAATTCCCAGCTGATCCCAGTTAAGCATTTCCCACATCTGTAGCATCGTAATTTGCTGGTGTAGCTGCTCTTCCTGGGGAAAATGTAAGAAACACAGCTTTACAGTAATACTGTCTGTGACACGTTGTGTTTGTTTGTCATGAATCTAGAAATATGTAGTGTGCTGAAAGTGAGATATATGATTATGCCATGTGGATATACTTTCTACTGATGCTGAGGAATCTAATCTTTAATAGCTGTCTGCAGAGAGGTGGGTTAATTAGGCTACAACTGAGAGGTCTGGGGCTTCCAGCGGGTGATGGGGGGACGACTGTTGTGTATGATGTGTCCCATGGTAAATGATCAAGCATGTTAGAGGGAGGAATTTGATTCCTCTGACTTCTGATAACTTGTATTGAAGCTAAAAATGTCGTTCTTTTTTCAGAAGTTTGGGAGTTGGAAACATTTCCAAGGGACTTTAAAAACTAATTTTGCTTTATTTGCAGCTTTAGTCAGTTCTCCATGATACAATTATTAATGGGACAAAAAGAGATCCTTGAACAAGCATTTCAGTCTCTCCCATTGTTCATGTTTGCAGCTCAAATCCAGTCCTAGCAATAATGAGGAAAAAGAAGCACAGACTCAGCTGACAAAGTCTGATGAGCTACAGCGCTTGCATTCACAAGCATTATCTGCCTACCAGCAAGAGGATTACGAAGCCGCTATTTCTCTTCTTGATGAAATCTTGGCAGTAAGTGTTAAGTAAAATGGTACTGTGAAAGGGAAGTAAGAGCTCCTGTCTGACATCTGTGTATTTTTGTTTAATAACTTCTTCATTGATGTGAAAACACTGGTGTAATTGGCCCAGTTTTGCTGAGCGCCATGAGTCCATAATGAAGTTGGAGAGTGGAGAATGCTGAGCACTCCCTGCAAAAAAGTCAAAATAATAGCTTGTAGTTTGAGTGAAAGGTACAACTTCAGGCAAACTTTGGTTGCAGGTGACTGTCTTGATTATACTTTCCTATTTTTCAGTGTTCTTGAGGAAGCTGGGGGAAAATAGTTGTTCTCAAACCAATGAAGTTTTGCCAAATACAGGAGATGTAGGTTTCTCATCTAGATTTTTCATGGCATATCTGCAGGCAAGTTTTGTCTTGAGAAAATGAGGCAACAAAAGTTAAAAAAAAAAAAATTGGACCTAAAAATGTACACAGCTATCTGTATTTTCAGCTTGTTCCTTAGATATCTGTTCATGTTGATTCTTAATCGGCATAGGTAGTGTGATAGTATCAGTGCAGATAATTGTGGGCATTTTGTGTGTCATATGGAAATATATATTGAAAGACAGCTAACAACTACGAACCTTCACAGAGAGGTTAACACTGACTTGGAATTTACAACATTCAAGCTTTTGGTGAAGAAAGTGCCAAAGTGTGGGTGGGTGTTTGTGGGGAGGGAATGTGGAAAAGCCTCATTCTCCGAAATGGTGGCTTACAAACAAAAGCTAAGACCCAGAATAAATTCTCTAAAATGAATTATGATAGGCAATTCCTTTTAAGTAATTGTTCTTGCCATACTGTCACATTGTTACTTCTGTATACATCTTTAAAATCCAGATACTAAGGTCAAATCTTGTGTGGCTGAGTCTTACCCATAGGCTTCTTTCTGGAGGACAACTGACAGCTTGGTCCTTGCTGTTCATTATCCCTATTCTTTTGGGAAGATTAATTTATGACTGCTATCCCTTCCTGGAGGGTCAGCCGACTGTCCCAGTTTAAGCAGTGCCAGTAGATTTAATTCATCTCCCTGCATGAGTTCATTGAATCATCTGCAAATTTTTCAGGCCTTTGTTTTCTGTTTGGGCAGGTGCATCACAGCATCCACCAGGAAGCAGAGATGCTAATTTCATGCGCTCTGCATGCAGCTTGAGCCTTATGCTGTTGCAGTTGGCAAATGGGATTTTTCTTTTGTTGGGGAGGAAAAGAAGTGAAGTGTTATGGACCCAAAACAAGCTTTAATTTTGATTTCTCAAGGTTTGTGTTTGGGATGCAGAGCTACGGGAACTTCGAGCTGAGTGTTACATAAAGGAAGGGGAACCAAGCAAAGCCATTAGTGACTTGAAAGCCGCTGCCAAATTAAAGAATGATAACACTGAAGCCTTCTATAAAATCAGCAGAATATATTATCAGCTGGGGGACCATGAATTGTCACTCAGGTAATTTTACTGTTTGCTGTAATCATTATAATTGAGACAAAATGTGATGGTACAGGTCCTGATAAACCATGAAATATCTGTGTTGTCTGTTTTTTGGATGGAATAGCAACTCTGGTCTGGATCTGATAAAGGAAACTCCTTTCCAAAAGTTAAGAACCGCCAGTGAAGACACCATGTTTGTTCTTGGCAGCCCAGCTATTGACGGTTCCTAGCATCTTGCTTACTAAAGTAGAAGCCATAGCGAAGGTCTGAGAGTTGCTTACACCTACTGTCTTTATGGTATTTATCCATCCTAGAAGAAAGTGCTACTCTAAACTTGCTTTGGTGGAGTCTGTTTTTCAGCCTTGAGCTTCCATTCAAGTTAAGTTTACAATGAAAAAAAAAATATGACATTAAGTCTTGGGGCTAGATTTTTGTTTTCAAGAGTGGAAACAAGATTACAAGCTTAAGAATAAATAAAAAGCACGTGTCCACAAGTGTCCACGTATGAGGAGCTGGGAACCCAGAGCTGTCAATCTTTCATTCTTGCAGACAGTGTCCAGTATTTTGAATGATTTTTTGATAACTGAATATGAGTAAAAGGGTAGGGAGTTAAGTTTAAGATGTTATTCCTGTATATCCCTAGTCAGTCCTGCAGATAAGAGTTATCTGAGTTATAAGAGCTCTATAGCTCTTGGACTTGCTGGGTGATTAGTCTTGTCCTTCTCTTAGTTTCTTCCTCTTACCTTTGCAGGCTTAATGATTTTCAAATAATAGATATTTTTGTCTGCTTAGGAACGAAAGAAGATTTTGTGATCTCTTTCTGAAAATAACACCTTGGTTGTGCTATGATGACTTTGTAACAAAACTTTTATTCCTTTATATGACCACATTCTGGAGTCTTTAAGGATTATTTTAAGAGGTGCCTGCCCTAACCAGAGTCTGATTAAACAGTCTTCACAGTGAAAATTCAGGTTGAGGCTTGGCTGAGATTCCATCAAGAGGAGGTTTGGGTCTTAGCTGAGCTTTGTCTGTTTCAGGCAGCATAAAATATACTTCTGCTTAGGTGTTCTGTAATATAGTTGAGTTAAATATACAGGAAATTTACAATCAGTTGTATATGATAACTGCTGAATACAATTTCTTTCTCGGGGTATATTTTCTTATGCTGTTTAGTCAGTTGTTAATGTAATGCTTCTCAATCTTTGTGTGTTTGGTAATACAAAATAATTGAAAACAAAACTAGAGAAGTATCCCTGTATGTTCTGGAAGACGTTTTTTTCTCACTTTAAATTCATTTTGGGATGGAGGGAGAGATTGTGTAAAGAAGTCAGCTATTGTTCTGGACAGCTTATAGATGCTGCATTGTGTCTCTAGGTGAAATTTCATAATGGGTGGTGACATCTTTCTGGTTTGGGTTGTTGTTTTTTTCCTCCCTGTGAACAGTGAAGTCCGGGAGTGTCTGAAACTGGACCAAGACCATAAGCAATGCTTCTCTCTCTATAAGAAAGTGAAGAAACTCAATAAGCAGATCGAGTCAGCAGAGGAATTAATCAGAGAAGGCAGGTAAGTGTTCACTGCTATATTAAAAAAAAAAAAGAAAAAAATCACTACTGAGGTGCCAGCTGATTATTGATTGAGGATTGAAGTGATGCTTTTTGTGTCTGTCAATTGAAGTGCATAACTGAGCACAGCTCTCAAATTCCAATTAAAATAAATATTGACTCACATAGTGACAATCCTATTCTGATTCCTTCTGATGCCACTGTCTTCTCTTCACACATTTAATTTTTGTGGAGCAGGCAGTAGGACCATCATGGGGGTAATATTAGTCAGCTTTCATATATTACACAGCACTGATGAGGCCACACCTGGAGTGCTGGTATCTGAAGGATGAGAGATGAAGCTACACAGAGAAAGTCTAGTGAAGTGCCACTAAGATGATGGAGGAACTGGAGCATATCTCTTCTGTGAGACAATGTCGAGAAGTCCCTGCCAACCTCAGCTGTTCTGTGGTTAAAGGACCACATCTTTAGACTAAAACCACCTAGTAACTCTGCAGTGCCTTGATAGCAAAAGTGGATCTGACTGATGGGCTGTTCTTACACATCCTGTTAAATGATAGACAGCACCTCTGTATTATTCTACTTCTTGCTTTATTTCAATTTTATGTATTCCCAAGCACACGACATCCAACTGTAAGGACCCATAACACATGATTAAATATTGTCAAGGTGGCTTTTTCAAATGAGGTATAATCAGGAATGTGAATCAGCACAGCTGAAGACAGTTTAAGTCGGCAGTCTGTTTGGACTCTCTTCACTTCAGTCTTCTGTTCAATCCAGTATCAACACGTTTTCAGGGAGTCTTCTGAGAGCTGGAATTTCTTCTAACGTGTGGTAGCCCATGGGTTCAATCACACACTTGCATTTTTAGGTGAATGTTCTAATCCATTTCTTACTCAAACCATGGAACTTCAGCATCTTTGAAACCTTCACAGCAAAAATACATTTTACTATGACTTGCCGAGAAGGAAGGGAGAAAACAACCACTGGATTCAAGCTGGCATAAAGAACTTTGTTCTTTTTTGAACCAAGAAATGCAAATAGCACAGTGCTCACAGCAAGACTCCAAACTTGGTCCGTCTCGGGTATCGGAGAGGGAGATGCGTTTTTCCAAGTGCAGAGTGGCATGTTGGATGGGAGGCATGTCTAGAGACTGTGCACAGCGAGGAATGGTAGGCGTTACCTTCTGCAGAAGCCTGCCAGGCGTAGTGCCTCCTGTTGTAGCAGAGGGAAGGAAATGGGGATGTAATTCTTGAGTTTTCTTCGTGCTGTTGTCTCACACCACGCCTTTAAGACTATTAAAGTTAAGGTACATTGCTAGAAGGATGTGAAAATCTGAATATTCAAATTTTAAAACTTGTAAATAACACCCTAAAATAGTTACTAAATTTCATGTTATGCCTATCTTTATTATTTAAACAGGTATGAAGATGCTATCAATAAATATGATTCTGTAATGAAAACTGAGCCTGAAGTCCCAATTTATGCCACTCGTGCCAAAGAAAGAATCTGCCACTGCTTATCAAAGGTAATTCTGCTTCTATCTCACTCTGTAAAAGACAAGCAAAACACCCTTCAAAAAAACGCACAGCTACATGAATTTTGTTTTACTTTCTGCTCCCTAGAATCAGCAGGCTACAGAAGCCATAAAAGTTTGTACAGAAGTTCTGCAACTGGAACCAAGCAACGTGAATGCCCTGAAAGACAGAGCAGAAGCTTATTTGCTGGAAGATCTGTATGAAGAAGGTGCAGTTGCATGCCGTTTGTGCATATTTCTTTGTGGGCATTTAAAATGCAGCCAGGGTTTCAAACACTTTTAACGTGCACTTTGATTCTACACTATGTTGTTATCCCTAATCAGCACTGGTAGTTGCAGATTTACAAAAATATCTGCTGGTAATTTTGCCTTGATTAGTTTAAGTGGAACATACTTGTTTTATCTGCAGCAGAGTTGTCCTAACAGTGGGCTGTGTTCAGGATGTTTTATGAGACTACAGCTTACTCAGCTTGCTTAAACACATTTTACATAATGAGCAATGTCAGACAATTGCGTTCAGAGATAAAAGATAGTTGAGTTAGGGTGATGTAAATCCATTTTAGGAACTGCATTTAGTGTCTTCAGACAGCAGGGTGAAACAATACTGCTCTATCCCCTAGCATATGTTGAGGGCAGAGGAGGATGACAGCCATTGCTTCACCTCCGTGGGTCTCTGTAGTGCTGCTAAGCAGCAGTAAACTGACTCTGCTCCCGAGGCTGTGTTTTCCATCCGAGGTTTCCATAGAATGCGTGCTGTTACATGGTCCCATCTACAGCCTTGGAAAGTGGGGACTGAGTAATGGGTGTCTCGGGTTACACCATTATGTTGTAACCTAGCTTCTTGAAGAGTACCAAGTGCTAATGTGCTATAAAAAAAAATCTTCAAGATTTAATTTAGTGAAGCTCATTTCTGCAAGAAACTAGGCTTAAGAAGGAAGTTCAGACAATCTTATCTGTTCCACCTCCATGCTCAGTCATGCAGCAGTTTTTGGAGCATTGGGCTGTTTCGGTCAGTGTGCTGAGGGGAAGGACTTGCAGGCTTTAAATCTGCAGGAAACTAGTTCCATTAATTTTAGTACTCGTAGAACAATTTTCTTTTTCTGTATTTGGGTACTGGATCTTTCGCTTTACAACTGAACAAAAATATCTTTTCAATTTAAACATTCATGAAGGCAGCTGTTCTCATTAATAGAACGTTCAGATTTTATTTGTCTTTTTGAGAAATTAATCACTGAGAGGTGGTATTACCTCTTGAAGCTCACTTGAAAAATGAGATACCTATTTTGTTCTTTTCTTAGACCTCCTTGGCTCAAATGACAACAGGGTATAAAGAGGACTGGTGTGGTTTCAGGCAGTCGCCTTCATCGTCCCTGTAGACTTTGTACCTCTGAAGTGACCCAGTCCTAGTCCCTCTTTGCCGAGACTGGCAAGCCTTCTTCCTCCTTATAAGAAAACAGATGGAAGACAACAACATTTCAGAGAACTGATGACCTTTGCAGAAAGGGATAGCTTTAAAAAAAACACCCCACCAAAGTGTGAGGAAAAATTGTCTTTCCGTTTTCCTTCGGGTGATGTTTTTCCCTCTTTTGATTGTTTAGAACTGCAGGGTCAAGGTGAAAGGAAGGCTCAGGACGATTTCACAGCGATGAGCCCCCCTTTGGGCATTTCCCCATCTCTTTCTGTACTTCAGTACAGTGGAAGTAAGCTCAGTCAGTGCTGGGAAAAGTAGATTTACAACTGAATAAAACAATCCCACCTCCCTAAAAATAGTTAAAGGTACAGAATACAAATCTACATAAACTACAGCTTGTGCAAAGGTTTTTCACTTGAGAGGAAGGAATATCAGCAAAAGGAGAACCCAAGGAAAAACGAAGGTAATTTTCCCCCCCTCAAGGTGTATGAACCTTCAGCTTGGAGGGGGGGTCCAGAGAGGGGCAGGCTGAACTGGCCTTACTGCGAGTCTTCTTAGATGGACCTTTTGCTGCTTATGGTGGACAGAATTGATCTGTTTGTTTTTCTTGAAATTGAGGAATCCCAATTAGGATCTTTCTAACATTGTCTTCTATTAAATCCTTATCTATTCCTGGTTCCTTTAGGGTGAGAGAATCTGGCAACTCTTGCAAATTAGAGGAAAAAAGGTTTTGTAACAAGGTCTTGCACAAATGCACAGAGTCAGCTTGGTCGTGTGCTGGAGCAAATGCCTCCCTATGATGGGATGTAAGGAGACACAGAGAGGACACACATGGGATCTGGGAGGGCTGAATTCCTGGGCTGGAGCCTGCTGGGCTTGGCCTAGTCTGGTTCCGAGTGGACAGCTGTGCTAGGGTAGAGCCGTACTAGTCCAACTCCCTGTTCTTCAGCATATGCCCTGCCTTCCTCCTGCCCTTGGCAGCAGTGGGGTGGGTGTAGTTACAGTCTGCCTTCCAGCAGAGCCCCCATAAAGCAGTGTTATAGTCCATTAATGTTAGTCTGCCTGAAGATGTCTTCACTTACCCTTCAGTTTTGACTGCTGTAAAATGGTGGGTGATTGCCCTCTGTTGTAGAGAACAGTAGAGCAATTAAAATTGTGGTCTCGTTTTTAAAGGGGCAAACTGATTCCCATTTTTCCCTCAAGAAAATGTCAAGCTGGAGGCACTGATTTTCGTGTTTAAAGGCAGGAAATTTCAAAGTAATTCAGAACTTTGGAGGCAATTGTTGTTAAATGTTCAAGACGCACTTCAGCATGTATAGCTGAGTTCTGATTCGCATCGAATGGCTTTAATTACTTGATAATCACATGGGATCCAGGGCTCGTCTACAGAGACGAATGTGTAATGACTCCCTTTCTGGCTTGCCTGCTAAGTACAGGAGTCTGTCTGCCTGAAGTACACAGCACAAGTTTTGTCAAAGAAGAAAAAAAACCCACCTTGCTGTTTCAAAATTGGTCAGGGCGTGCTTTTTCTCCCCCCAGCTACTTGTAGAGGAAACAGTCCCCATTTCAGTAACAGCAAAACTGTTCAGTTATTCCTCTGACAGAATTGGCATGGACATAAGGGGTCTGCGGTTACTTGATCACTCTACAAGATGCAGGCAAGATAGGAAAGCCAGCTAAGGCGTTTAGAGATACGGTGCCATTACTATTTGAGAGATTGTGAAGGCGCTCGTATTGAAAGGAGGACAGTTAGATTTGACTCAAGTATTTAAATGGCAAGTGATACTGGAAACTGGTTATTCCTTTCATATGGTGGGGCAGGGTGAAGGGAAGAAAGGATGCCCTCTGAAATAGCAGGTCAGTAAGAAACAGCGGTGATTCTTGTCTTGGTTTGTGAGGTACTAGTGCTTTGAGGAATACGGTGGCTGAGAAGAACTGATTAAATATGTCACTTGACATACTGTGAATTAGTAGTAAGTTCCCTGGTTTCATAGCAAACTTCTGGTGGTCAGGAAGCTGTCACCCTGCTTCCGGCCCTCACCCCTCAGGTGGGGAGAGCAGTTAGCTCTCTGAAAGAGGAAAATTCCTACACTAGAAAGTGCCATCAAAATTGGAGTCTCTTCCAACTGAGAGAAAGTGTAAAGTGTTCTCGCCATCAGGTGTGCTGGGTGCATTCCCTTTGGTGTGCAGCGCTAAAAACGATACGTTCCTGTAGGCTGGGTACTGGCAGCCTTTAAATGAGGGAGTCAAAAAGAGAGAAATCTAGTGCTGCTGTTGCAAATACGTGACCCCTGAGCAGGCTGGTTTCCAGCGGTGGCGCGTGCTGTAGAGGTTGTGGTGCTCGGTGCAGCTGCGCAGCCTGATCTGCGTTTGGCAGGACGTTGTGACGGGACCTCCCGTTATTACGTGAAGCAGATGAAGCACGCTGGCGCTTACAGGTACTGGAGCGGTAAAGCAGCGGAATGAAGCCCCTGCATTTTCATTGCTTTTATCAGTTTCGACAGCATGTATTGGGAAGACTGCTGTTTGGTTTTTTATGACTGGACAAATTATTAAAAATATCAGTAGAAGCCAAAATGCTTTGTTCAGGCAGCAAATGACAGCGTCCAGTAATGTGAAAATGAATAGAAATTGTTTCATTTGTAATAGCATATGAAATTGTTGGGGCACTGGAAATACTTTTTGGAATTTTGTTTTCAATAACAAAAACAAGATTGCAGTGGTATCAGATGTCTGGGTAATACAAATTCATTAGCACTTCCTGCTGTCTTGCTCAGAAACAGTGAAAAACAAATGTAACACCTGCTGAGAAATAGCATCTGCTTGGAAATAATCTGATGCAAGTACTTTGTCTAACTCGAGAAACCTAGGAGACTTGGATCTGCAAATGAGACTTTGAGGATTAGAACAGTGAAAGAAGAGCAGTCTCGTTAAAGGCTTTAACAGTTGCTTCCCTTGGTAAATATTGATATCAAAGAATATTTAAACTTTGTGTCTTAAGCAGTTACCACTTACAATAATAATATAGTTTACTTAAGAAATTATAGGTCTACACCTTTTTAAAAAAATACATTAATACATTACACACCTCTCTTGCTTTCATTTCTAAGAAATGCAACTTGAAATAAAGGCAAGAGCATGCCTTTGGGAGAAAAAACCCTAAAATATAACTGTCTGCATATTATGCAGAGGCGTCAAAAGCAAATATTTGTCTTGCACTGACAGTATGAACCTGCTGGTAATCTGAAATCCATCTTTATTGTCCTTAAAGAGGAAGAGGCTTTCTGTTGTGCTGATTGAGTGCAGACTGTGGGAGAAGGAGGAATATTAATTTAAAGACTCCGTGTAATGCATCCTTCAGCTGAACAGCAGCGGGGGACTGACACGTGCACTGGGCTCTTCAGCTCCCGGTCACTGAAACTTGCTGCTTGACTGCTGCTCTGTCCCAGCCCTGGATGCTCGTCGTGTTTGTCCGTGTGGCTGCTGTAACATGTAGAGAGCGTTCTGACCTACTGCTAGTAACCTCCCTTCTCCTTCCTTTCCAAAAAGTGTGGTGAACCTAAAGAAAGAAAATTACCTAATTTGTATGTAAAAGTGAATCTCTTCTACACCGAGGTTTTCTAATTTGGAGGAAAAAAAAATGGCAAGTTGAAATAAAAGGTTTGCTTTTAGTAATAGCAAAACTTCGGTTTTAGTGAGTGGTTGAGCTCTTTAAAGTGAAGTTTGTGAAGAGTTGTGTAATCTCTTTTTCCATTCACTTTTTTTATAAAAGCTATTAAAGACTATGAGACTGCTCAAGCCAATAGTGAAAATGACCAGCAGATTCGGGAGGGGCTGGAACGTGCCCAGAGGATGCTGAAGCAATCACAGAAGAGGGATTACTATAAAATCTTAGGAGTAAAAAGGTGAGATGTTAGTATCTGAGGTGATGGTGTGAAAGTTGGTTATTAAACCAGTGAATCTAGGGCTGATCACTTGAATTTGCTGAGTGTTGGGTTTTGTTCCTGTATCTTGCTACCTTCACTTTCCTACTGTAGTAGTTCAGCGTTTCAAGTCGTATTTGCTAACAGTTCCTTCAGAAGGAGTGAAAAAATAACAATGGTAAGGAAGGAAATAAATCCCTTGGCAAGAAATTCTTAGTATAGATGATCAAGTCAGGTGAATGAATTGCGGAAGAAATGAAGGCTGGAAGGAATTACTGAAAGCAACTGAAAAGAAAATTGTAGCAGGTAGTGTGATAGATTGGAGAAGTTTGAAAGGACTAATTGAAAGGTATCTCACAACACTTCTGCCATTAACGTTGAGAAACTAATGACTAATCTTTCTAATGAAGACCAAACAAATGCCCAGTTCTGAACTAGTGTTGGTCGTCCTTCCAGTTGTTAACTAATTTCATCTCTGCTCTGTGTGTGTTTTGTTACTCACCTGATTGTACAAATTCTTCAGCCTGGGAACTGCATTCTGCATAGTAGCTGCCAGTAGCAGCTTTGCAAAGGAAGTAAACGACTGGTGAAGGAAAGAGTTGAGTAATCTTGGTTTAAAGTTGCAACCTGCTTCCTCTGTTTTTTGTGTTAAGAATCTTCAGTGCCATCTACAGAAGGTTAACTCATAATTTTCCTGATGCCTTTAATTACTTAATTACAATGTTGAAAATAAACCTGGAGATTCACTAGTGTGGCATATGAACAATTAGAAAATTAAGTTATCTGTAATTTTATCCATCCAGAAATGCTCGAAAGCAAGAAATCATAAAAGCTTACAGAAAGCTGGCATCCCAGTGGCACCCTGATAACTTCCAGAGTGAGGAAGAAAAGAAGAAAGCAGAGAAAAAATTCATTGATATAGCAGCTGCTAAAGAAGTCCTCACTGACCCAGGTAATGATTGGTTTTTTTTGCAGTGACTTCATTTTTTTAATTACTTTTTTACAGTAATGTAAAAATGCAGCAAGTGTAAGTTGTAACAAGCACTACAGCTTCCCTTTTTCCCTTTCTCCCCTTACCCATCTTGAGAAAGCAGTGCGCTAACACTTGCATGCAGTCTGTTGCATGAAGTCAGCTGTAAACCTGGAGTTATTTATTGCGTTCAGTGATTTTTGTTCGAAGTCAGATAGAAACTGTTATTTCAAAGGTGTCTTTTTAGGGTACCATTTGCAGAGATTTCCAGGACTCTGGAGATGGTTACTTTAAGGATGTGGGTGTCTCCTCCTGCCTAAAGTTCTATCGCAAACAACATTTAGATTATAACAGCACCTGAAGTACTCCAAGAAGCCCTCAAAATTGGCCTTGTTTTGTGTATGAAAGGCTAGATGCCTTGTGCAGATGCTCTGCAAACAGCATTTCCTCGAGGGCAGGGGACCGAGTTCTGGGTTGCTGTCAGCCTGAGGGAGAGGATGCCCTCACTGCTGCTCTGTGGTCAGGCTCCTGGGGCCAGCCCCGGCCCTAGGACCAAGAAGCCATGTCGGGTCTGGCTGTCTGCTGGTCAGCCCTGGAGGGGGAGGGGAGAAAAAGGTGAAGAATGTGGTCACTCTCCTGGGAGAAGACCCTGGGGTGTGGTGACGAGGGGATCTGATGGCTGTCTCGCCAAGAGATGAACAGAAAGAGCTGGACCGTTTAGTCCCAAGAATGCAGTAAAAAACAGGGTGGTGTGGTCATCTCGCCTCCTTTAAAAAAAACCCCAAGCAACCAAACCCAACCAACCACTCCCTCCACCCCCAAAAAAACCCCAAACAAAAACAGTCCGTCAGCCAGAGCCATGTGTTAAGTTCCTGTCTCTAAACTGTTCCTGTATGCTCACTGGAAAGAGAGAGGCACTTAACAGATGTAGATATTGGAGGCTCACATTTTTATCTTCAGCTGTTCAGGACCATCTAAGTGATAATGCAGCAGATGGTCTCAGACTTCCTTGGGGGAAGGGGGATCTGAGAGTGCTGAACTGCATTACAAGCACTTCTGGTCAGAAAACCTTCTTCTGTGTTAATGTGATCTTGTTTGTAATTATGAACACAAATTAGGAGACTTAAATACTGGAAGTGTTTGAGATGCTGTTTGCCGTCTTAGCATCTCCAGGACATGTTCATCTGCTTTCTCCTTGACCCTGTTTCTTAGGTCACATTTAACCATTTCTGTCAAACCAAGTGGGCAACAAAAGTAACACTGGTTGTATTTGGCTTTTGTAATGCCATCTCTGTCTCCTCTTACTGCGATGACGTTCCCTCCTTTCATCCAGATATTTTTCCCAGGTCATTTTCTGGGTATGGTGACCATGTTGGTTATGTAAAGAAAAACTATAAAGCCTGTGGACCTCTGAATCTGAGCTTTGATTTGCAAGCTTCTTAGCACAGGGCTCCGGTGTACTTTGAGGCCATCTTCCACATTCCTCCTTCAGCCAGTCTTGGGATTCCCCCCAGCTCGCTCCCTTGCTTCCCTTCCCTGCCTTGATAAAATGGGTGTCCCGAAAAAGTGCCGGGCGGTCAGAAATCCTGTGGCGCTTTGCAGGCTGCCTGACAGTTACGTGGGGGTGTGAGTACCACGGTGGTGGTGCGGCCTGCGGCTTGTCTGCGGGTCTCGGGGAAGGCTTCCAGCTTTGTCCCCGCTGGACTGAGCTACCTGAAGAACTGGCTTTCTGCCTCCAGACTGCTGTCCCCTGGACAGCCTCCGCCTCAGTGGCGGGTGGAGATGGTTGAAAACGTTTGGGGCTCTCCATGCTGACTTTGTGCAGTTGGTGAATGATCCATATTGGAGTTTATCGATTGCAAAGAATTGGCAGGATGCAGCACAGTCTGTCCTCGGACCATCCCGAGTGAGTGCAGCTGTGGGAGAACAGGTCTAATAAACTCACCAGGGACAACATGTCCCAGTTATTTGTGGGATGCTGTTGGTCCAAGTGCAGCTGTCCCATCCCTGGTGAAATTCATACCTGTCCTATTGGAAAGCCAGGTTCTGCCTTGCCTTGTTTTAAAACTAAGCGACTTGCTTGAAGTTTTTCGTACAGTGTTTTTGCATAGTTCGTCCATTTGCTGCCCGTCTCCTGGACAGCTTTGAAAAACTCAAGAGTAATTATTTTCTACAGTTGCTGCCAATACAAGGGATAATGGCAGCTCTGGGGGCTTGGGGGGGGGGGTGCACTGGTGGGGAGATGCTTGGTGTTCCTGCCCTAACGACTGTGCCGTGATTCCACCTTGGTTTTGTCTCCTTCAGAGATGAGGCGGAAGTTCGATGCGGGAGAAGACCCACTGGACGCAGAGAGTCAGCAGGGCGGGGGCAACCCTTTCCACAGGAACTGGAACACGTGGCAAGGATTCAACCCCTTTGGTTCTGGAGGAGGACCGTTTACATTCAAATTTCACTTCAGTTAGAGCCAAGACTGTTTCTGGTGGCTGCCGCTGGTTTTTTACTTAATTCGTTGAAAAATAAAAAGTCTCTCCGTTCAAGACCCAAAAATCTTAATTTCTAATGTTGTCCTTAACCCAGAGGTTTACTCTGCTAGAAGAAAGCTCCTACTTTCTTTCAGCATTCAGAGTTTGCTTTGTGGTGAACCTGACAAGCTGGTCCTGGTCTGGGGGGGAGGTGTCCCTGGCTGTGTATTTGCTGTGGATATGAGGGAGATGTTTATTCCTATGGATGGGAAAAACCAGTAAGAGGCTACTTAGGGCAACACTTAAACATGAATTTAGGACTCAAGTATATGCTTAAAGGTAAAAATGCATGTAAATATTATTCTGAATTGGGGCCTAATAAAGGTGGGAAGGGTAGTTACGATAGTCTCTGCGTTAGCAAACCGCTAGTCCTCGCGCCCAGCAGACTGTCCCCTCTCTCAGTATTTGTAAAGGGAGCGCGGGTGGCTGCCTGCGCTGTGCCACGGGCAGGGGGAGGCCGCCTGCCCAGCGAGTCCCAGCCCCCGCTCCCGCGGAGGGTCGCCTCTGACCCGCTGTGGTGGAAAACGTTGGCTCGCTTCATTCAGTAACCTGAAACGAATTGGGATCGCTTCCTTGGCGGCAATTCTCAAATGTGAAAGTAAAGAAAAAAACCAAACCCTTGGTGTTTTTCAGAAGACTATTTCTGAATGCGATTTGGGGTGTTTAGATGTAATTTCTGAGTGGTTTGCACTTTAACAAAATACCTACTTCAGATCTGAGAAAAAAATTTGATGTGACATTTCCCCGACTGTGCAGCAATGTGTTATTTCTCCACATAGCTCACACCCTGCAGCGGCTCCGAGCTGGAGTGCGCTGCGGGCTGTGGGCACACAAGGTTAGGGCTGGCCTTCCCCCGTAGCGCGGCTGCACTTCTGCTGGGGGCTGTGATGGTGAGTTCGTACAGCGTGGAATTGTCTGAGGCAGTGCTGGATCCTGTGTAACGCACACAACCGCCTGTGTGCAGAAGGAGGGGCTGACTTCCCAGTCGCCAGAAGTCTGGTTTGTGTTTTCTATCAGCAGGTAGCTGAAACTGGTTTAGTGTATCGCTGGCACCGTGTGAATGCCATGCGAGGTGCTACCGGGCTGCCGCTGGTGCGCGTGAGGGGGCTTCTCCTCTGGTGGCTGAATAGGTCATCGTTCCTGATGAGTTGCAGCAGCAGCTGCCATTTTCTTAGAATGCAAGAATTACAGTTCATCAGTGTTTTCGTGATTGGATTTTAACTGGAAAACAATAATGGGTTGATAGGAATCTTCTCTCACTTCTCCTGGTGGTGTTTGAAAGCCTGAGCGGCCTCGGTAAAACGTGTGACATTAGCAAACAAGGCCTTCAGCCCAGAAGTGGGGGTTGTGTTACTGTAACTGGAGTTGCTGTTGAAGCATAATCCTTGTCTCCTGCCTCAAGTACTGGACCAACATAGTTGTGAGGCCGTCTGGCTTCGTAAAATGGTTTGTCAACAGCAATTTAAAGGTCAGTGTTTGTTCAGCAGAAATTTTATCTTCAGGCTGAAGAATGTCTGTGGTGATGCCTAACAGGTTTGGGTACAAAACCACCCCAAGCAGCCTGTTAAACTGCAGCATCGGATACCTGCCCAGTCAAACGACTTCCTAGAAGTTTGACTTCTGCTTTCGACCTGTCTGAAAGCTTTTTGTTTGAACTCTGTGGAAGGCGCTCAGGCTGCTGTTGACCCTGCTGTGTGTTCTGGCGGGAGCTGCAGGGCTCAGACATTGGAGCTTGCTGCGTGACCCATAGTCTGTCGCTGATGCAGACCGCTCGCGCTCAGCAGGAGGTGGGCAGGGGGCTTCCCTGCGTGGCGGCCTCCGTGCCTGGGGTCTGCGTGCGTGAGCCGCTGCTCTGTAAGCAAACAAACACTGCTCTCTTGCCTTGCCCACTGCAGAGGGGCTGCTGTGAATACCGGCTGGCTGGTGTAAGCAGTGTGTCGTATTCTGCACGGCCGGGAGCGGTGTTCATCTGCGGGAACAGCGCCCGCTCTGTGTGTGTGTGTGTGCGCTACGGGGGCTGCTAGAAATGGCCCACCTTCTTTTAAAGGACTACCCTGGTTCAGATTTTTTGGTCTCATCCCATCTCCCTTCTTTTAAAAGCTATAGCTGAGAAAATTGTTAGAATCATAGAACGCTTTGGGTTGGAAGGGAACTTTAGAGGTCATCTATCCCAACCTCCCTGCAGTGACCAGGGACATCTTCAACCAGACCAGGTTACTCAGTTTCCTGATTTTTTTTGTGTATTTGTTTCTCCAAGGCAGTGGACAGTTCTGCTGTACGCTGGAAACAGTCAGGGACAAAAAGGATGATGTTAATTTTGAGAATGAATGGGAAAGGGAAAATTATGTATTAATGAGAAAAAAAAAAAAGGCTTGAATGTAATCAGTAGAAGGAGGATGATTAATGCATGAATGCTGTTCATGGGTTCCTTCTGTGGAAGGCAGAGGAATGAGAACAGAAAAAGCCAATGGAGAATGAGGCTTTCTGATACTAACCAGCTGCTGACCACAAGACGCATTACCGCTCCAGCGCTGTTCTTAAGAGAGCAGATGCTGGCTTTTAGCTCTGAGGTACCTCTGGAAACACAGAAAGACAAACTTGTGTTAAAAGAAAGCATTCGCGTTGCAAGGGTCTCCAGCTACAGCGCTGCGTTTCCTGAAGTGACTTCAGAAAACGAAGCGCTGGTACCACACCGAGAGTTACGGTGCGGGCGATGTGCCAGGAAGCTGAATTCGCCTGTTTATTTATTAGTGGGTGTCTGTAGTGCAATAATGTTGAATAACTGAACATTGAAATAAATGTATTGGTATTTTGTAAACCCTGAGATGTGCATGAAGCATCGCTGCAATAATTGGCCTATATGTAGACGCAAACTTTCTCTGTTCAATTCTCTGTTTTGGTTTTAATAAAATAGTTTCTAATCTAAAATGAAGGGGGGGGAGTGTATTTTACTTGGTATATGCTTAATACTGGTGTATTAATTAATCAGTATTAAAACAGATTCAAAGTGAATTATAAATTTAAGAGCTCAAACTTGTGACATATGCTGAAAATGTGTCAGCTTAAAAAAAATAAAGCTTGTTACCGTTTCAGTTTTCAGACCAGTGTTTGGAATAAGAATTATTCTTCTGTTTAGGGCTGTGATTTGTAGGAGCTTTGCTGGAAACTAGCCAGTATAGCAGTGCAGGTTAGTTGTATTTAAAAGTGCCTTATTGCAAGGTATTGTTTGTTTGCTCTGTAATAAACACTTTTATCCATAAAACAGTTAAGTGGGAGAATAATTTCTTTTTTTTTTGCCCTCAGCAAATCTCAAAGTAGCAGTTTATGCTTTAAGAAGGGTAAGTAAAGCTAGCCAGAGATTTATCAAATGTTTCAAATGATAAAATGTCTTTATATAAAATCATAAATCTAAAAAGCAGGAACTGTTTTTTCTAGAACCGTGGGAATTATTTTATGGTATTTTTCACAATAAAGATATTTATGATGACAAGAAAGCACTGCAGCGTGTGTGTCTGCCCTTCTTTCCCCATCCTACTCTCCAAGTCTGAAGTTCGTGCTGTGCAGAAATGCAGTCAAAGGCTGGCAGAGCGCTGGCTTTGGGGCTCCTGTCAGACCCCTCCCGCAGCTGATGTGCAGGTTTGCAGGCGTTAACAGGTCAGGCATGGGGTGAAGCAGCTTCTGGATTCTTCACACTGGGGTTTCAGAGCTTAGTTTTCCTCCCGCAAGGCCGGGCGGAGTGGCGCTCGGAACAGACTGTGCCCTTGGAGAACTCCAGCAGAGCTTCAGCTCCAGCGGTGACCTCGCCGAAGCAAGCCCCGGCTCACGCACGAAGCCCCACACCGCTGCCGAGGGCCCAGCCTCCTCGCCAGTGTCACCCCTGCGCAGCCGCGCGGGAAGCGAAGCGGAGTCATACCCACAGCCCCTCCAAAGGTGACAGTCCTGCCTGCAGTCACCCAGAGCACGTACACAGGCACAAGTGACGGTGTCAGTAAGTAAGCGAGCTCCTTCTCGGTCGTCACAAGGTGCATGTTACTTTCTTTTCCTGAAACACTCCATTTTCAGGAGTTCCTGGCTGGAGGCAGTTTGTCATACACGTGTGGTTACAGCGGTGACGGGCACGTGGGTGCGTACATAGCTGGGGAGGGTGAGGGTGTCCCGAGTTCACAGTCACATGGCTGGCATCTGCTAAACGTGTGACAGTGAACGCAGACAGCAGGAGACTTCTGGGGGGTGGTTGGAAACCAGGGCCAGGTTTTGTGTGTGTGGCTTCCTGGTGCCTACCTGTTGGATACAAGCACTTCAGACTTTCTCGACCTCAAGAAAAGCACAAAAGAGGTGCAGTTACCATCTGGGAGAGATTCTTGAACTCCGTGAGGGCTGGGGAAGGGGCTGCAGCAGGAGAGCAGGGTTGGTTTTGGGGCGGTTGCGTGGTTTGTGGTGGTCTTTTCTTTGGGCTCATAGCTGTAAGCAGAGTACCCACCTGATGAAGGAGAGGAGGGACGCACAATGTACGGAGAAGCTACAGGCAAAGTCCCAGCTGAGCAGCTGTTTTTCAGGGCTTACGATGTCGTCAGGTTCTGGCAGTTTTCCGAACACCAGAGAGTGGTGATCCTCTTGCATCACCTTCCTAACCGTGAAGAATTGTTCTACAGGCAACACGTCTTTCCCTGCTGTTGCACCTGCAAGACTCAATGTGCTGCAGAGAACGGCAGGTGCTTCCTCTAGGGTAGCTCGTCTTCAGGATGGTGAAGAACTGAAAACGTGGTGGTGTTGCACAGCATGCTGATGTGAGAGGTAGATTATGGTAGAACAACGGTGTGCCTCAGGCATTGGAACGAGTGGCTAAAACTTACACCATTGCTAAAAGGTGTGACATTCATATGGACGGACGAAGAGAGCACTTACATTTCAGAGAAGATACAGTTAAGGAGCAAGTCAGCTTGACCATGTGTCATCAGTCTCTTAAATATCTGGAAGTTAAAAACAGGGTCAGTATGACAAGTCAACTGAAAGGAACCATGCTTG